TCCTGTAGAAAACTCCTTTTAAAGATGAAGCTCTAAAAATTTTGCGGAAAGAAAATACGAAAATTTAAAGTTTCGAAAATTTTCTAACTTCGCAAATAATTCGCGAACTTGGTCAGCGACATGGTGAAAAAATTTCTTAGCCTCTGTAGAATACTCCTTTTAAAAATGAAGCTCTAAAAATTTTGCGGAAAGAAAATAAGAAAATTTAAAGTTTTAAAAATTCTATAACTTCGCAAATAATTCGCGAACTTGGTCAGCGACATGGTGAAAAAATTCCTTAGTTCCTGTAGAAAACTCCTTTCAAAGATGAAGCTCTAAAAATTTTGCGGAAAGAAAATACGAAAATTTAAAGTTTCGAAAATTTTCTAACTTCGCAAATAATTCGCGGACTTGGTCAGCGAAATGGTGAAAAAATGTATTAGTCTCTATAAGCATCTCATTCACAGGATCAAGCTTTAAAAATGTTGCGGAAAGAAAATACGAAAATTAAAAGTTTTAAAAATTTTCTAACTTCGCAAATAATTCGCGAACTTTATTAGCGGGATGGTCAATAAATATCTATGTCTGTATAGATATCTCAGTATGAAACTAAACATTTCGCGGGCAGAAAATCCAAAAGTTCAAAGTTTTGAAAATTCTATAAATTCGCAAACAATTCACGCGTTTGATTAGATTTACGTTTTGTGATCCCCTTAGTTATGATTTTTTCTACACAAGATGAAGCTCAAAATCCGCGTATATAAAACACACAATTCAAAAAACGTATCTTATTATTATCAGCTTACAAAAAGTTGGTTTCCGTTTCTGCTCTGTAAATATTAATTTCACTCCATATCATATTGAATTCGCGATCACTTGTTTGTCTTTACAAACACTTTGGCAGTTATGGCACCCCTGAGGGCCCTAACGCATTTCGTCCCTGGCGGCCGCCATATTAGCTATTAATTTTTAAGCGCTAGCTTCAGTTTCATCTAACGTAGTTCGTCCCTGGCGGCCAGACATATTAGCTGTTAATTTTAAGCGCTAGCTTCAGTTTCACAACTTTGTTCAAATTTTCCGACAACTGTTCACAGTCAGAAATATTTTCAATAGCTGAATATGACGTTCGTCGACGTTCCTGAGCTCCAGGTCGGCTGTAGATCAATTTAGACATCATAATCGTGATCAGGGACCTCGAAAACCCCCAAGCACCCATCTGCGCTAGTTCTGACACTTATTTAACAAGTTTTGAAATCATCCAAGAGGCCTCTCAAATAATGCATTTTTTTGAATGCTTTTTTGGCTGCAGCAATGCAATTTCCGGTTTGTATGACCCGGAAATTACGGGGGAATGATACAAATAATTTTTGCAAGCGAATGCAAAAAACCGCATTCCGATTGCCTCGACATGTAATGAATTATAACACGTTTGTATTTCAGCACCATAATATATATTTCACTACATTTTAATTATAATTTAAAATTGTAATTTATTTCTTAAATGGGCTGGCCCCTAAATAAATAAAATTGTTATATATTAAAGATAAAGCCAACTAAGCAGTTTAGTTTTATTTCAGTCTGTCTTACCTACTGGATTTGTTTGACCTTAACCTAAGTATCAGCCAATTTCTTTATTTAGTGGCTTATTAGCATCAGGAGATATTTCATGGCAAACTATTCTGGCGCCCCGATAAAGATCTTTTAATTATAAAATCACACCTCCTCTGACTTGAGCTACCTGCGACCCAATGTAACATTACACAAGGATGAACTATTTGAAATATCAAGAGAGGCGCTGTCTTGAATAAAATTTCTTAACTGGAGTTACTTGTAGGTGATTTTCATTATGACTTAACAAGTGTAACTGTAAGTGGAATTTATGAATAAAGTCTTTGGAACATAGGTCACATTTGAATGACCTTCCAAGAGTATGTATTTTAACATGATTCTGTAAAGTGTGACTCCGACTAAATCCTTTAGAACAAATCTTACACTTGAATGGCTTTTCGCTATTATGAATTCTTACATGGACCTGTAAGCTACTTTTATGTATAAATTCGTTGGAACATATGTTACACTTGAATAGTTTTTCAAGATTGTGAATTCTTAAATGATTCTGTAAGCCCTGCTTTTGATTATATTCTTTGGGACAAATGTTACATTTAAACAGTTTTTTATTAGAATGAATTAATAAATGTTGCCGCAAGCCGTAACTAGTAGTGAATTTTTTTGAGCATATGTAACACTCTAATGGATGTTCCTCAGGATGTTCATTAGTGTGAATCAGTAGATGTTGCTGTAAGTTACATTTTCGTTTAAATTCTTTGGAACAAATGTCTCATCTGAATAGTTTTTTTATTAAAATGAATGTTTAAATGATTCTGTAAGATGCAATTATGTTTAAATTCTTTGAAACAAATGTCACATTTGACTGGTTTTTTATTAGGTTGAATTTGTAATTGTTGTCGTAAGGTTGATTTCTGTGCAAATTTTGTTCCGGGAAAATACTGTTGCTTTATGTGACATATTTTTAAATGGGTGTCCAGTTTTTTTCTATTAAGAAATCTACTGGTATAAATTACAAATTTCTCGCTCAGATTTTTCAGTGGTCGCTGTACAGAACGTTTCAGTTTCATTGTAAACATTTTCGGTTTGGATACTTTTCTCATTTTATTTTTTGTGTCGCTGAAATTCGAATAGTTCCATAAATATTTTCCCACAAAACTTACAAATTATGGGATATTTTTTAAAATATCCATTGATTTGCATTAATCTTGATTTCAATAATGAACAATCTAATTATAAAGAAAAAACTTCAAATACTTAAGGAGGTCTTTTCGCCACCAATGTTAAATAAAAAATATTAGATTATGACTAAAATTAATTTTTTTCTAATAGTAGATGTCCTTATTTATCTAATAGTGAACTTTTAACTATACCTTACCGCGCAAATTTTTGAGAAATTTTTTTTTTAAAAATGTGTGTTTGTACAGTGTCTTATGAGAAAGTAAGACTTCAACAACAATTTTCGAATTATAATTAATTTTACTATTATTTATTGATTAGATGGAGTAGAAAAAAACTAAAAATAAGGTTTTTGAAATATTTAGGTTTTGTTTTTTACCGTTTTACCGTGGAATTTATTGAGAAATTATTATTAAAAAATCACAAAGAATTTTCAACTAGGTTACTTGAAATTTTTTAATATTAATTTCTCAATAAGTTCCACGGTTTACTATATATATTTTATTGTATAAAACAAAATCTAAATATTTCAAAAACCTTATTTTTAGTTTTTTTCTACTCCATCTAATCAATAAATAATAGTATAATTCGAGAATTGTTGTTGAGGACTTACTTTCTCGTGAGGCACTGTACAAATACTCACATTTAAAAATAAAATTCTCAAAAATTTGCAAGGTAAGGTATAGTAAAAAGTTCAATATTAGATAAATAAGGACTTCAACTATTAGAAAAAAATTAATTTTAGTCATAATCTAATAACTTTTTTTTTAACATTTGAGGCGAGAGGTGTGGCGAAAGGACCTCCTTAATAATTATCATAATTATACTACAATACAATAATTTGTGACTTTTTTAAAGAGAAATAAATTAAATAGGTAATATACATACAATCTCAATTGATTATATGGGCAAAAAGCTTGCAGACATTTTGTATACACCTTTTTATTAGACAACTAGATATCTCATTATAACCTGCACTATCTTTACTTTTCATTTGCTCTGTAGTGATTTCTCTAAAAAAGAAATTGTTTTTGTTGTATATATTACAAACATACCTATCATAATTTAGAAGCTGTTGCCCAATCAGATTGCTGATCTTGTCATTAAAATATTTACTGAATATATTAACACCTTCATAAATGTCTATAAATGATAGTTGTTGTGCTTTCTTATTTTGTTTACTTATCAGTTTCAAGATTACCTGCCAGAAACTTTTTGTTTTATTCATTGTGTATTGAAGACTTTATTCAAAATGTTTAGAAATTTATTATAACAGTTTTGGTAATCCCTAAACGCATTTGTGTGATTGTACTTTGATAAAATAACATATTTTTCCTAACTACTCTTCTTTCAATGATATTAAAAGTAAATTTATAGTATGGGAGCCCACTGTAAATTTCGACCGTCATCTGATAACGAAATGAAATATGCTCCAAAGGCATGTAACAACATTGTACTTTACCAAATTGCACCTGGGCCAATTCCTATCCTGAGCAAAGTGGTTAAAAAAATTATTTTATATTCAAAAAATCACATAAGACATGACAGCGACAATTGTGTTTTCCTTGAAAATTACAAGCCTAATTCATTGTGAACCTAGCTTTTAAACCATGTTTATGTGTGAAAGGAAGAAGGATGGCATTGTATAGACCATTTGCAGAGATAGTCAATAATAATTATAAACTCTTGTTAGACAATTCTTTTAAACCATAATCATAGTAGTTTTTTTGTCATTTCTATGGCAACCTGTAAAAATGAATCACAACAAAAGGCATACAAATAAATTTTTAAATCACCAAAAATTGATTCCTATTTTTAATGATTTTTACCTACTAATCGTGGATAGATGTTTTTGTGCAATTTTAAGAGGAAAAAACTATTTCCCTTTAACGATATATATCAAGATATATTTGAACGTTATTTTCTGGAAAACTTTAAGGGCAAACAAAATTAGCACTGTCATGCTTTATGTGATTTTTTTAAAATAATTTATTTAAGCCACTTTGCCCAGGATTGGGATTGGCACAGGTGCCATTTGGTAAAGTACAATGTTTTTACATGCTTTTGGGGTATATTTCATTTCATTATCAGATGACTGTAAAAATTTACAGTGGGCTCTTGGGCTATTAGGTTGTTGTTCATTTGATTTTTAAAATAAAATAAAAATGTATCCATGAAATACTAGTTGAAAGTTGTAAGTGATGAATAATATGGTATCAGTCAGTTTTAAAAAAATTGGAACAAACCCAATTAAATATATACGTAAAGGTACTTACTTTTTTCGCAAACTGACGATCTTGTTTTTATTACGGTTTGTTCGCTGCTACACGGCTGTTCAAAATAGTCCTCACTTTTTAAAGTCGGTATATCACAATGCGAAGTCAAAAGTTCGCTAACCACTGGCTTGATATCACTGATATCTGCCGTTTTTAACTCGTTAGTGTTCCCAGTTTCTTTTTTAATAGTGTTTAATGATTCATCATATTCAATGTTTTCAGGAAACTCAAAAGATTGTTCAATTTTAGGCACTTTACATTCACTAATGTCTTGTTTGATATCATCTAAATTTACTAGTCCTGTTGGATATTCACGCATATTGTCAGTATCACTAAGCGCATATTCATGATCGTTTTTAAAAGTTTGTAGTTTTGTAGAACACCAATATCCATCCGTGTCATCGGAAACTGGATCTGGTTCCGTTTTAATAATCTCCTCATTTGGGTCGAAGGGTTCTTCTTTCACGTCCACGTCTACGTCCATCGTTTCAACTGTTATTTTTATTATTTCAAACGATAAACAGACGATAAATAATTAATATATTAATTTAAAAGCCAGAAAGCCGCACAAGTTTCTTTTATGATATTTATTTTTATTTTGATATTCTCCGTTGACAAAGGAAAGTTAAATAACAGATGATATATGTCATGTCAACTGTTAACTGTCAACATCGAGCCGTGTTCAGCAATTCAAGTCCAGTGTTTTTCGAGACAGTTGAATTGCCGAAATATCCTGAAAAAAATTGATATTTTTTTCAAATTCTCCGCTAAATTTTATTCTCCAAACATTTTCAAATTCTCCGAAAAACGAAGAATTTGCATCAACAGTAGCACTAGGCTAAGTCACTTCTGAAAATATCGTTCTATCCATACAATTTGTATAAATGGAAGGATATTTTCAGAAGTGGTATAGCTCAATAATCTTTCCTCCATGAGCTCAGTGCTACACTTTCGATGCAAATGCTGCGTTTGAGAATCCACATCGGATGCATCTGAGATGTAAAAAATCTTTGATCACGTGATTCAGTATACGTAAATGTAATGGGACAGATGTGTCAGATGTGGATAAAAAACGCTCGAGATGTAAAAAATGCATCCGATGTGGATTCTCAAACGCAGCATATATGTAGGAAAATATCATAAATTTCCCCGGTTAATAAATCGCGTGAATTTAGAGATGGGTAGTAACAAATCCGTAAATGTACTTAGCAGTTACAGATTTGCTAATATCCATCTCTAAATTCCAGTGTAACACCAGAACCACCTGGAACCTTACAGGCGTTGTAACCGAACTTCGATTTTAGTTCAAGGATAACACCCAAATCCGACTTAACTGAGTTATGTTTATAAATACGGACCCAAGTCTGTATGAGGTGAGTTTGGAGAGTCAGGGTTGTTTTATATGGTGTGGTCGGGAGCTAGAACAAGACAAGAACGGAGTTTTTATAAGCGTGTTGAACTGTCACTAAGCACCGATTCTACCGTTGTGTTAAACGAAGTTTAAAATGACATTTTTATATTAACAATGTCATTTTAATCTCCGTTTAACACAATGGTGGAATCGGCCCTAATCGGAATAAACGAACGCTAAAATCACAAAGCACATAGAGGTTCCACGTGAATGACCAAGGTCAAAACCGACAACTGACATTTTTTATGCTATTTGCTCCAAACTCTAGATGGGGCTACTGGTGAAATTCTGATTTCTTACTCCATTTTTAAGCTTTATGGGAGAAAAACTTAACCAAAGACTCCAAAGATGTGACGTGTATTTATTTATGTTCTTGGTTAGTTTCATTTTTCCGTCTGATTTTAGTGATTTTTTTGTTGGCTTTGGCTTTTGGTTTCTGTTTATAGTTTCGTCTTAGTTATTTGCAAAATTGTGATGTTTCGCTTTTTTATTTCCTACTGTGTTTTGCAATAATTTTGGTGCTACGTTGAAAACTTCGAAAAAAACTTCATTGATTCACCATATATTCACCATGCATCTGCATCATAAAAAGACAAACGGGGACAACAACTAATTGATAATCAATTTATCACTGGACTGGATTCCGAAATATGTATCACCATCTGTATTTGGAAGGAAAATACCTATTTATCATTGAATGAATAGTTAAAAGGACCTTTTAATACAATACCTATATTACATTTGTCCTCAGTTAAAAAGACATTTATAAAATATATAACTTTAGTGTTAATAAAATGTAATATCCTAGTCTCTACTTCACATTTAAATTATTGATAGGTATTTTAAAGATTTGAGATTATATATCTATTTGCTCCAAGTAAGTATTCGTTAAATATGTATTATTATTTGTATTTATTTTTATCTAATAATATTTATTTAAGTTATTAATAAACATATCTTAAGAATGTTCCATTTTATTATTTATTGATATATCTTATATTTATTTAATACAAATATGCAGAACCAACTCTCCACATTAGACCCCTTATAACAAATTAATTCTTAAAATTTGGTATAATCGACCTAAATTATTTTGTAAAATAAAAGTTTCGAACTTACTAGTTCCATACTTTATTTTATAAAATAATTTATGTGGAAATCATTTAAAATTTAATTTAAAACTACTACCTACTCCTAAAAATTACAATTTGAATTTACCGCCATCTGTCAATTGTCATTTTAGTTCCAGCTCCAAACACAAGGTGTCGCTGATTTGGTTTAAAAGTTTAACATTGGCGTGGGGTCTCTAGAAGATACATGCTTTGTGGCTAAAATGGTCGTTTGGAGTTTAAAGGATTCTTGGAGTGACTGGAACTTAACTATCCGAACTTACCTACAGAATCTGCTAGTGACAATATTTGACAAATGACAATGACAGTTTCCATTGACATTGACAATTAACCTAACCTAAGCAGCTTCAGATAATAATTTTCATTTGTAATTTAATAATACCTGAACAACAGGATTTTATTTTATGTTTTAATATGTCTGGAAATGAGTCTGCTGATGAGCAAAGTGAAGACGGAGAGTTACGTCAAAGCCCTATTGATCCTAAATATGCACCAGAGCCAGAAACTATGGATTTTAGGTTTGTTATTATGTTGTAAACATTTAATAAAACGTTTCAATAGTTATTTCTGCTAATAAATATTGTATTATATAATTATTTCAGCATTTCGGAGGAAGAGGAAGGCGAAACAGTAGATTCTCTAGATATAAAACCACCGCAAGCTAAAGCTTCTGCACAATCCAAAACCAAAAAGAGAGATCATGAAAGAAGGAAACACACAGATAGACGAAGAGATGATAGACATTCTCATAGAGATAAGCATCATAGGTACGTAAATAACTACCATATAATCTAATTTATATAACTTTGATCACTGAATGATCTAGAACTGATTTTATTTGTTATATTTACTTACTAGCTTTAAATTTTTGTATTTTTTAAAGCAAATGGCTTTGATATGCTTTAGGTACGTCGCAATTTTGAAAATATGTTGTAATCGCTAAAAAATACTAATTAATGTCTAAAAAAAGGGAAAAATTATTAAAAAAAATGGTTTTCCTTAGAATATATTTGTTTATGTATGTTTAGTGATATTTACCACATCCGATTTATAAGATTCTTTTGTTTGAAAGGGGGTACCTCAGGGGTGGTTCCATATAAATTTGGTCAAGATCTATTAATGGCATACATGAGAAAATCGAAAATCATCAAACTTTTCATTTTTTATGTATGTTCAGCGATAATTCTTTAGTATGTTGTCCAATTTTTATGGTTCTTTTTTGTTAGAAACCCCCTCGAGGGTGTACCCATATACATTTAGTCAAGATCTGATAATGGGATATATGATAAAATAAGCAAAATCAACTTGTAATGGCATCTGCATAATTTAATTTGTTGTTTTTTTAATTTGTTTGATTTTGAGTTTATTGTACTTTCACTTATCCAGGACTTAATTTTTTTATTTTCATTTGTTTTTATAATTTTGGATATTGCACACTTATTAATTAAATGAGGTTAAATTAGGTTTCCAATGGAACTTTGTTCTAATCAGCAGTTAATATTAAATTTGAAAATTTATTGTAGGAAATTTTTTTTATAGTTTTGAATTTTAATTTAGTAAAATAGTTGTTTTACTTCTCTTTCTGTAGGTACAAAAATTGTATTTAAGATAGATATTTATTGAAGTAGGATAAACCTAATATACAAAAAAAATATTCTAGAAATACAAATACAGTATACTTAAAACTTAAAGATAATTATTATTAACATTAACATAATCTGAGTAAAGAAAAATAAATTTGTTACACATTACAAAGATACTTTTGATCTTGAGTTTAGACAGACTTAATTAACAATAAAACAAATAACAGTTGAAAGCATGAACCCAAATATTAAAAAAGAAGAATAAAAAAGTAATAATGAAACATATAAAAGCCAAAATCAAATTTTATCAGTCCTAATAAAAGTTGTCAATTTTTTTTTAAAACTTTCTAATGAATTACAATCCTTCAAGCCCCTGGGCAGTTCATTATATTCTTGGAAACCTTCATACAATAATGATGCCTGTGATTTCGAATAATTAACTTTTTTAATGTATATATCCTTAGTTGATCTTGTGCTGTGATCATGAATATCCCCATGATAACAAATAAATTTATGAAAGTAGAATGGAGCCAAAGAATGAATTATTTTATAAATAAACATAATTGTCAAGTAGTACAACCTTTGCTGAATCGAAAACCATTGAAGAGAATTTAACATTGTGGCAATTGGTGTAAGACGATTAGCGTTTATAATATGCGCATGCCTCGATTTTGTAGTTTTTGAAGTTGATTTAACTTGTTAAGAATAAATAAATGAAGAATAGAGGCACAATAATCGAAGTGAGGCTGAATAATTTTATTATATACTGTTATTTTAGTTGAAGTTGACAAGTTATTTGAAATTCTAGAGAAGAAATATAATTTTTTTTTATTAATATAATTAAAGAAATCATTAAAAGTAAGTAGATTATCTAATTGGATACCTAAATACTTAATAGTTGGGACTATTGTGATTTGTTCACCATTTATTTGTGAATTAACATCATTGATATCAAGTAAACTATATTTATGTTTAGTTGTAAAAATAAGTGCTTTTGTTTTAGTTACATTCAATTTCAATTTGTTAAGATGAAAATACTGGGCAACTTTCTCCAGTATTTTATTCATTTTCTCAATTGCACTCATTAAATTTATATCAGAGCATGCTAGCAGAGTGTCATCAGCAAAGAGATTAATGAATTCGCAATCAACAAACAGTCCAATATCATTCAAATATAGTCCCTAGGACACTGCCTTGCGGAATCCCTGTGTCAATGTTAATCTCGGGTGATATCTGATTGTTAAAATGTACTTTTTGTCTATGACCTTGTAGATAATCATTCAGCCAGTGGTATACTTTTCCACCTACACCATATTGTTGAATTTTCTTAAGTAAAATACCCTTATCAATGGTCTAAATGCACGTTTCAGGTCTAAAAAACAGCTGCTACATATTTATTCTCATCCACATCATTTTTAAATTTACTCACCATTAACTGTAATGCAGACTCCCAGGAATACTTTTTTCTGAACCCAGACTGGTTAGTTATTAAAATAGAATTATTATTAACATGTTCAAGTAGTTGTTCATACACAACCAGCTCCAATACCTTCTCAATTGACGGGAGAGTATTTACAGGCCTAAATTCTTCCGATTTTATTGTATTATTAACTTTTTGAATTGGAACAATAGTACTAATTTTTAGTTGATATTAAACTTTGCCTGTATCAAGTGAGGTATTAATTAAGTTTAAAATAATGTGCCCAATTATTGCATACACTTCCTTTAGAACTTTAGAATTAAGAATATTAAAAGCAGAATATTTATTATCTAACGTGTCAAAATTTTATATAAGTCATGTAAAGTTAGTAAATTAAAGTTGTGAAATGGTAAGTATAAATTATTGTTTAGATTATGCCAAGGAACAGTTGCATCAATACTTCCAGTAATATCCATAATACTTTCAACAAAATATTAGTTAAATTTAGTTGATATGTCAACATTATCATAAAGGGTAATATGGCCTGTTTGATCACTAAATTGAACATGATCAGTCACATCATTTAATTTAATATTTACTAGTTTTTTAAGTTTTCCACATCTCTTTAGGATTTTCTTTGAAACAATCAATTTTATTAAAATAATAAGTAGATTTTTTTGATTTCAGCACATTAACTACTTTATTTCTACATTTATTCCACATATTCAGCTTTTGATGTTCTGCACAGGACTTGAAAGGCTTGTAAGCATTATCTCGGATTTTAATGTTATTGTAAACCTCATTATCAAACCATGGTACATTAGGGTTATACTTACATGTCTAAAATAGGGGCAACCTTATTAATAACTCTATCATAATTTGAATATTAGTCATGATAAATTACTTCATCATCAATAGTATTAAGATTCCAGTTGCACATAATCAGATCATTTTGTATATTAAAAATGTTAATTTCATTATAATTCCTGTACTTTTTATAACTTTTTTGAAGTATTGCTTGTATTGGAAAAAATTACAGAAATCACAGAATGATCACTGATTTTCGGAGTATCATGAACTTCAACATCAGAATTATCATCATTAGTTAATACAAAATCGACTAGAGACTTACTATCAATAGTTACTCGTATATTTTTAGTAACTTTTTGTTGGATACCATAGCTTGAGAAAAGATTCTTAAGTTTTTTAACATAAAAACTATCACCAAGCAAATTTAAATTAAAATCACCCACTAATACAAATCTATACACTTTAGAAACAATATTGTCGCAAATGGCTTTAAAATGTTCTAGAAATTTTGCATCCGAACTTGATGGAGAATGGTAAAGACATCCTACAATCCAGACTGCTGATGAAAAATTTATTTTCACTAACGTACACCAATAATTTTTTTCCAGAACATATGATTTAACAATTGAGCAGCTATAACATTTTTTTACATACATTACAATTCCTCCTGTATAAGATCAGAATTGTTTGAGTGAAATTCGAACAGTTTTTGAAGGGCCCAAAATAAATGTTTACCTTTGTATCTATACTATCACTTATTATAAATAATTGAGTTTTTCCCAAAATTTATGCGACATACATTATTATAATAATTATTTAAAAAGTATAATTTTTTATAAATAAAAAAAAGTTCTTCGGTACACCTATTTAAATACCTTACATTTTTAGGGAAAAACCGAACAGATCTCTGAAGGACCGCGAACAGTATCAAAGGGACAAAGAACGGTACTATAGGGAAAAGCATTTCGAACAACAAGCGGCTGGATTTGAAGCGCCGTTCAGAGAAAGAAAGGACGAAAAGTCCCGAGGCCGGCATTCCGATCAACGCAAACACGAAGAAAAAAAATTAAAAGAATCCAGACATAGGGATGTGGAGAAACGAGAATATTTCGAGGAAACCAGGAAATCCAAGGGCGATAAAGACCTGAACGATTTGAGAGAACGTTTGTTGAGCAAAAGAAAAGGGGAATACGTTCCCGGCGGTAGAGATAAAAGTTCCAGAAAGGACAGGAAGCACAGAGAACACTTAGAAGATCCGTTGCAAGGCGAAGCCGGAATGCTGGTCAAAGAGATCATCAGTTTGACCACAGAAGAAAAGAAAAAGATCCACAAGGACGACGATCCGAAAATGACGGAGGAAGAGAGGGCCGAAACGGAACAAAGAAAGCAAAAATTTTTAGAGGCTGGTAAGTACTTGCAAAGAATAATCGTAAGAAATCGAATTATTAATTTTCATTTCAGCAAAAGAAATGTCCAGATTGAAAGAGCAATCTAGAGTGGAACGTGAAAGGCGGCAAGAAAAAGCATCCAAACGGAAACACGAAGAAGACGTCTTCGGTAAACGGCAAAAAGTCGAGGAAGCCCCCGTCGTAGTATCCGATAATTCGGACGGCGAGCAAGAGGAAATCTACCAGCCCAATACGTACGAAAGCGACAAGAGCCCCGAGGAGGAGCCCAGTCCTTCTCCAGTACCCAGCGAGCATTCGAGGATCAGCTCTAGATCTGGAGGTTTGTATACAATTCCAAAAACAACTGTATACATTTCCCTTTGATTTTCTCAAATCGTTTCACGTGTCTCTATTGTTTTCTTTCTTTCTAATAATCTCTCTTGTCCGTGAGTTCTGGATGTACATCCTTCATTGCTAACACAAAAAACTGAATCTCTCATGTTAGAAAATGGTAATAGAATTACAGAGCCTCTGGCGGGCATTGTTGAATTTCCTTGAGCACTATATCACAATTAAGTCCTCATTGGGCAAGAGGCCATATGAAAGAAAAAAAATAGAAGTTACATCTGGAAGAAGAAGAAGAAGAAAAGTTGTGCCTGGAAGAAGAATATACGTTGTATCTGGAAGAAGATAAGGAATAAAAGTTGCACCTGGAAGAAGACAAGTTACTTCTGGAAGAAGATAAAAAAGATTAGTTACTTCTGGAAGAAAATGAAATAGAAGAAGAGAAGTTGCACCTGGAAGAAGATGAAATAGAAGAAGAGAAGTTGCACCTGGAAGAAGATGAAAAAGCATAAAAGTTGTACCTGGAAGAAGAAGAAGTGGCGTAATCTTACAGTCATTTTAGTAATAAAAAAACATTGTTTCAGTTTGGGCTGTAGGAGTTACACACTGTTAACTTGTACCGTGTCTATTATGTGGATGGTACTAGATTCATATAATTCTATATTTCATACAAATCTAGTACACGTGACTGTTTCTGTTTTAGGGGACGAAAGTCCGTATTCGGATGATCGCCGATCGGCCACGAGGAGCCGAACGAGAAGCCGCAGCCCGAGAAGCGGCAGCAGAAGTCGCAGCGACAGCGACAGATCTAGGTCCAGGTCGCCGAAAAGCGACGATAACGATGAAGAAATGTTGGACGAGGAAAAAGAGAAAGACGACAAGAGCGCGGATAAGCCCAAACCGAAGGTCGACGAGAGTCTACCGCCTTATTATCCGGCGGTACAGGTATTTATTTTTATTAAAAATCTCAAATGTTACGTGAAATGTCAAAAATAGCTCATTAAATGTCAAAATAACACATTGAATGTCAAAATAACACATTAAATGTCATAATAACACATTAAGTGTGAAAAATATCGCATCACAAAAATATCACATTAAACATAAACGGCATTAAATGTTAAAAATGTCACATTAAACACAACAAGCATATTTATAAACAAAAATATCGCTATAAACATCAAAGGTGCATTAGATGTTAAACATATCACATAATAGACAAAAATAGGACAAACAAAAAATTTCCTGTTAAACAAAAAAAGTATCACGTAACAAAATTATCTCAATAAACACAATGATGTCACATTCAAACACAAAATTATCACATTTAAACACAAAAAAATCACATTAAACACAAAAAATTATCACATTAAACCACTGATCTATATTATTTTACTGGATAGGATATAGCCCCCTAAAAACGTTCCGAAAAATTGGCCGATTTGGGCAAAATAATATGGCGGACCGGATGTTATTTAACGTAACCTCTATTTCCATTTGTCATTTAATTGTGTCAACAAGCTACGATGAGATGTTTTTATTATGGAAAACAAAGTAAAAAAAGTATGAAATAAACAATAAACGTTCATTCCTGAAGACACAATATGCTTCACGTTTCCATTTTTACTTTCCTATCTGTATACAGATATAAGGAAAGTATAGGAATCATGATTTTTTTCGACCTCGAGTTTTTGACGGATTTTTACGTTTTGAGGTCCCCTGAATCCGTTTTGACTATTTTCGCGATGATGTCTGTGTGTGTGTCTGTGTGTCTGTGTGTGTGTGTGTGTGTGTGTGTGTGTGTGTGTGTGTGTGTGTGTGTGTGTGTGTGTGTGTGTGTGTGTGTGTGTGTGTGTGTGTGTGTGTGTGTGTGTGTGTGTGTGTGTGTGTGTGTGTGTGTGTGTGTGTGTGTGTGTGTGTGTGTGTGTGTGTGTGTGTGTGTGTGTGTGTGTGTGTGTGTGTGTGTGTGTGTGTGTGTGTGTGTGTGTGTGTGTGTGTGTGTGTGTGTGTGTGTGTGTGTGTGTGTGTGTGTGTGTGTGTGTGTGTGTGTGTGTGTGTGTGTGTGTGTGTGTGTGTGTGTGTGTGTGTGTGTGTGTGTGTGTGTGTGTGTGTGTGTGTGTGTGTGTGTGTGTGTGTGTGTGTGTGTGTGTGTGTGTGTGTGTGTGTGTGTGTGTGTGTGTGTGTGTGTGTGTGTGTGTGTGTGTGTGTGTGTGTGTGTGTGTGTGTGTGTGTGTGTGTGTGTGTGTGTGTGTGTGTGTGTGTGTGTGTGTGTGTGTGTGTGTGTGTGTGTGTGTGTGTGTGTGTGTGTGTGTGTGTGTGTGTGTGTGTGTGTGTGTGTGTGTGTGTGTGTGTGTGTGTGTGTGTGTGTGTGTGTGTGTGTGTGTGTGTGTGTGTGTGTGTGTGTGTGTGTGTGTGTGTGTGTGTGTGTGTGTGTGTGTGTGTGTGTGTGTGTGTGTGTGTGTGTGTGTGTGTGTGTGTGTGTGTGTGTGTGTGTGTGTGTGTGTGTGTGTGTGTGTGTGTGTGTGTGTGTGTGTGTGTGTGTGTGTGTGTGTGTGTGTGTGTGTGTGTGTGTGTGTGTGTGTGTGTGTGTGTGTGTGTGTGTGTGTGTGTGTGTGTGTGTGTGTGTGTGTGTGTGTGTGTGTGTGTGTGTGTGTGTGTGTGTGTGTGTGTGTGTGTGTGTGTGTGTGTGTGTGTGTGTGTGTGTGTGTGTGTGTGTGTGTGTGTGTGTGTGTGTGTGTGTGTGTGTGTGTGTGTGTGTGTGTGTGTGTGTGTGTGTGTGTGTGTGTGTGTGTGTGTGTGTGTGTGTGTGTGTGTGTGTGTGTGTGTGTGTGTGTGTGTGTGTGTGTGTGTGTGTGTGTGTGTGTGTGTGTGTGTGTGTGTGTGTGTGTGTGTGTGTGTGTGTGTGTGTGTCAAATTTTAAACTTAAGCTTTGTTTCAGCGTCCAATGAGCTGATTAGATTTTGGGCAGAGTCGGAACATCTTTTATGGAATATATCTGTTATTTACGTTTGGAGAAGAAAATTCTTCAAATATAATTATCTATAATTTTTGTTATATACAAAACTTTCCTAAAATGGTCCGTATTCGAGAAATTTGACAAAATGCAAAAAAAATATTTTTTTATGAAAATTGTTCAAATAAAAGTTGTTTGTAATATAATTCTCTATAATTTTTATTCTATACATAATTTCTCTAAAATGGACCGTATTCGAGATATTTGAGAAAATGTGTAAATTTCGAATTTTGAAGAAAACTCAAAAACGGATAAAGAAAAAAACATTAAATTTTAAACTTAAGGTTTATTTCGGCCTGACGTGAAATGATTAGATTTTGGACATAGTCGGAACATCTGGGGGGTACTTTATGGGAGGCCACTTTTATATTTTATGGAATATATCTGTTATTTATGTTTGGGGAAGAAAATTGTTCAATTAAAAGTTACTTCTAATATTATTATCTATAATTTTTGTTTTATGTCAAAATTTCCTGAAATGGTCCGTATTCGAGAAATTTGACAAAATGTGCAAAATTCTGATTTTTATGAAAGTTTTTAAAATAAAAGTTGTTTGCGATATCGATCTCTATAATTTTTGGTTATGCATGATTTTTCTAAAATGGACCGTAATGAAAAAATTGTAGGAAATTTAAATTTTTCAGTATTTTCGTTTTCCATGAATATCTATAGAAAAATGTTTCGAGGTAGATGTATGTGGACAATGTATATATTTAGTTTATCCTCTAAACATTTATAGAGATGCTGTAATAGGTTGTACAAAATAACCGGAAAAAGCCTACAATAACTAGATAGGAAAGTCATGTGTTGGACACATCAGATTTTTATATTTTCTTTCATAAAAAATCAAATCATGGGTGAAATTTCCCGAAGGACATCGCCCGCAAAAGGAATAGAAGAAGAATAAAAAAAAAACTAATCAAATTATAGGTTAGGTATGTCAAATTATCCCAAATTTCAGTTCTGTGAACCCACCATAATTTGCCCAAATCGGCCAGCATTGTTGCACTTCCGGTCTCCTTGGTGGAACGATTTTTTAGTATGTTAAATATAGTCTATATCCTATCCAGTAAAATAATACAGATCAGTGCATTAAACACAAAAATATCACATTTAAACACAAAAATATCGAATTAAACACCAACGTTTCATTAAATGTTAAAAATATATTAAACGTGGAAATATGGCATTATACACAAAATATCACATTAAATGTCGAATAATTCCATTAAATTTAAACAGCATTGAATATTAAAAAATCACATAAAACACAAGAAAGTCGCTTTAAACACAAACAGCTTTGAACGTTGAAAATATATTAAACCAACAAATACCCCCATCACACCCAAACTATCACATTATACACAAAAAATATCGATTTAAAAATGTTACATTATACTCAAAAATATATTAACCACCAAAAGAATCACATTTAAAAACCATAACTATCGCCATAAAAACCAACGGTGCGTTATATGTTAAATATATCACATACACAAAAATATTACAAACACAAAATTATCACATTAAACACAAAAAATATCCTATTAAACACAAAAATATCAGATTAAACACAAAATATATCCAATTAAACACAAAAATATCACATTAAACGCAAAAATATTGATTTAAATACCGATGTTCCATTAAATGTTATAAAAATCATATTAAACACGAAAATTCTGTATTATACACAAATATCACATTAAATGTCAAAAATATTACATTAAACACAAAAATATCGCATTAAATATAAACAGCATTGATTATTTAAAATATCACATAAAATACAAAAAAAACCACTTTAAGTATAAACAACATTAAAAGGTAAAAATATATTAAACCAAAAAATACCCTATTACCCCCAAAAAGTATCACATTATATGCAAAAATATCGATTTAAATACCAATGTTGCATTAGATGTTGAAAATATATTAAACACAGAAACACGGCATTAAACACAAATATATTAATCGTCAAAAAATATCACATTAAACACAAACATATCGTATTATAGCATTGAATATTAAAAATATCACATGAATTACAAAAATACACGATTAGAAAAATTCCACATTAACCACAATCGGCATTAAACGTTAAAAATATCATAATTCCAAAAATATCTAACTAAACAAAAGTATCACATAAAAACAATAAATATCGATTTAAACACCAACGTCGCATTAGGTATTAAAAAAATATATTATACACAAAAAAATCCATTTAACATAAACATAACATTCAAAGTTGTTAAAAATATCACATTTAACATAAAAAATATCACACTATACACAAAAATATGATATTAATCACAAAAAAAGTCACATTAAACACAAAAATAATAAATTAAACCCAATCAGCATTAAACGTTCAAAATATATAATCCTTAAAATATCTGACTACACAAAACTATCACATAAAAACAAAAAATATCGATTTGAATTCCAAAGTCACATTAGGTGTTAAAAATATTACATTAAACACATAAATATCCATTTAAACAAAAGCGTTGTATTAAAAAATATTACATTAGACACCAACTTACAAGTTTTTGAAAATATCACATTTAACATAAAAATATCACATTAAACACAAAAATATGATATTAATCCAAACATGTCACATTAAACACAAAAATAGCGCATTTAGTACAAACAGCATTGAATATTAAAAATATCACTTAAAACATAAAAAGTCGCTTTAAACACAAACGGCATTGAACGTTAAAGACATATTAAACGAAAAAATATGCCATTACACCTAAAAAGTATCACATTATACACAAAAACATCAATCTAAATACCAATGTTGCACTAAATATCATTTATTACAAAAAAATATGGCATTAAATACAAAAATATATTAATTGTCAAAAAAATTTCGCATTATAGCATTAAATATTAAAAATATTACATGAAACACAAAATATTACATAAAACACAATTCGCATTAAACTTTAAAAATAAATAATCCCAAAAGTATCACAAAAAAATATCGATTTAGACTCCAACGTCGATTAGGTGTTAAATATATCACATTAAACACAAAAGTACCCCAGTAACACAAAATATCACATGAAAAACAAAAAATCACTTTGAATACAAATATAGTATTGGACGTTAAAAATCTAACCCAACAATTTCTCTTTACACCCAAGAAGTATCTCATTAAACACAAATATATCAGTTTAAACAGAAGCAAATGTTAAAAATATTGCATCACACACCAACATAACATTGAAAGTTTTTAAAAATATCACATTTAACACAAAAATATCAAATTAAACACAGAAATCACATTAAATATAAAATATCAAATTAAACACAAACAATATCACATTAAACGCAAAAAATATTACATTATACACAAAAATATTACATTATACACAAAAATGTCACTTTAAACACAAAAAAGTGTATTAAACACAAAAAGTATCACATTAAACACAAACATCTATTTAAACAGAAGCATTATGTTAAAAATATTTCATCACACACAAACATAACATTGAAAGTTGTTAAAAATATCACATTTAACATAAAAATAACACAAAAATATCACATTGAACACAAAAATATCAAATTAATTACAAAAAATATCACATTAAATATAAAATATCAAATTAAACACAAACAAGTATCACATTAAATGCAAAAAATATGACATTATACACAAAAATATTACATTATACACAAAAATGTCACTGTAAACACAAAAAAAGTGTATTAAACACAAAAAGTATCACATTAAACACAAACATCAATTTAAACAGAAGTATATGTTAAAAATATTTCATCACACACAAACATAACATTGAAAGTTGTTAAAAATATGGCATTTAACATAAAAATAACACAAAAATATCACATTGAACACAAAAATATCAAATTAATTACAAAAAATATTACATTAAATATAAAATATCAAATTAAACACAAACAATATCACATTAAACGCAAAAAATATTACAATATACACAAAAATATCACTTTAAACACAAAAAAGTGTATTAAACACAAAAAGTATCACATTAAACACAAATATCAATTTACACAGAAGCATATGTTAAACATATTTCATCACACAAACATAACATTGAAAGTTGTTAAAAATATCACATTTAACATAAAAATAACACAAAAATATCACATTGAACACAAACAATATCACATTAAACGCAAAAAATATTACATTATACATACACAAAAATGTCACTTTAAACACAAAAAATATATTAAACACAAAAATATCACATTAAATACAAAAATATTGTATTAATGGTCGATTCGTTAAAAAGTTTTAATTAATTTTGTAGAGAATTTTAATACAAGTTTATTTGTGAATTTTTGTAATACAAAGAAACGTTAACAAAAATCTAATCTTTAAACACTTGTAAAATAATTTTGCCGAAGAAGTTTTAGTCGAAAATTATGGGGAATATCATTGTTCAAAAAGAATTTTATGATAAAAATGTGTTGCGTGTATATATTTGCATTTAAAATGTTTCAATTGGTAAACTGATGAATCATAATTCCGAAAATTTTAGATAGTCGTGTGTTCTTCGATTTATATAAACGGTATTTTTATATACGATTTACCGTTAACGGGATATTTCGAAGACATTTTGCTGCATTTATAGAAAAGTGTTACAACTCAAAATCTGACAAAAAAAAATTGAATTCATTTCCTAAACGGCATTTTAAATCAAAGATATCGGATAGAATTGATGTTCAAAGAGTTAATTCAAATTTTTCGAATTTTGAGTTGCCTCACTTTTCTATAAACGCAGTGATGCCATCGTTTGTACGCTTTTTTCTGCAGGGTTGTCGATCCGTCGAGGAATTCCAATGCCTGAACCGTATCGAAGAAGGCACCTATGGCGTGGTATACAGGGCGCGCGACAAACGCACCGACGACATCGTCGCCCTCAAACGCCTCAAAATGGAAAAGGAGAAAGAGGGCTTCCCGATCACGTCGCTGCGCGAAATCAACACGCTACTCAAGGGTCAACATCCCAACATCGTGACCGTACGAGAGATCGTCGTCGGCAGCAACATGGACAAAATATTCATCGTGATGGACTACGTCGAGCACGATCTGAAGAGTCTGATGGAGACGATGCGGCACAAGAAGCAGCACTTCATGCCGGGCGAGGTATACGACAAATTACTTTATTATTTATTCGAATTCTTTCTCAGATAAGGGAAAAAAACTACTACACAAGAATAGTGACACAACTCAAAAACATTAATTTCTTAATCTTACTTCCATTTTAAAGTTTCTTATTGTAAGATAAACCCCAAAAATAATATTTTATCTTTTTTGAGTTATGACGGTATTTCAGAAAAGATTATTTCACGACTTATCGATAATGACATTTTCTACAATAATGCCATAATTTGAATTGTGTCACTGTTGAAAATAATGTTCTTGGTTTATTTTTAATAAATAGTATTGGCATGTTTTGATTTATGTCGATCTAACCGAAAATTAAAAAATAAAATTTGTATTCACCTTAGTATTCAACATTAGTATTCACCATTACTATTCACCTTGTATTCAAACAATAATAAGTTTGCCAAAAAAATATATTTTCATCTCTCTTTTGAGTCCTGACGATTTTCTAAAAAAATTATTTCCCGCCTTATTTATAATGAAATTTTACTTGTCACTATTGAAAATAATGTTTTAGTTTATTTTTAATATAATTAGCCTATTTTGATTTATGTCACTCTAGCCGAAAATCAACAATTCATTTTTAATTTGACTTGTGTCATTGTTAAAAATAATAATTTTAGTTTATTTTTAATAACTGGCATATTTTGTATTATGTCACTCTAGCAGAAAATTGGCGATCTTATCTATTGCCTAATGGAGCACAACTAGGCTTGTGTCACTCTTTATCATCATAAACCCGCGACTTTGTAGTACGGGAAAAACAACAGTATTCAACATTGGTATTCACCTTGTATTCAAACAATAACAAGTTTGCTTTAATAACATCAAGAAAAACCAAAAAAAAATATTTTCTTATCTCTCTTTTGATTTCTGACAATTTTCCAGAAAATATTATTTCACACCTTATTTATAATGACATTTTTAATGATAATGTAATTTTACTTGTTTCACTATTGAAAATAATGTTTTAGATTACTTTTAATATAATCGGCATATTTTGATTTATGTCATTCTAACCGAAAATTGACGATTTTGTCTCATTGCCTATCGTCACTCTTTATCATCATAAAGTAGTTGCTTTATAATACGGGAAAAACGACAGAATAGTCACAACTCAAATTATATTTTCTATTACATTCCAGAAAATTTTATTAATGAAATTTTCAACAATAATGTCCCAATTGGACTTTTGCCACTGTTTAAAATAATACTCTTAGTTTATTTTTAATATAATTGGCATATTTTGATTTATGTCACTCTAGCCGAAAATTGACGATCTTGTCTCATTGTCTCTCGGAGTACAACTAGATTTGTGTCACTTCATCATCATAAACTCGCGACTTTGTAGTATGGGAAGGACGACAGAATAGTAACAACTCAAAATCACAAATTTTCTATTACGTTTATATATTTTCATGTCTCTTGAATTATGATGATCTTTCGGCAATGTTTATTTCAGACCAAATCATAAAGTTTCCATTACGTTCATATATTTTCATTTTTCTTGAATTATGACGTTCTTCTAGCAAAGTTTATTTCACACACCTTTTCAACAATGTTTTAATTTCATTGTGTTACTGTTGAAAATAATGTTTTTAGTTTATTTTTAATATTGGTATGTTTTGATTTATGTCATTCTAGACGAAAATGGACGATTTTGTTTCATTGTCTATCGAAGCACAACTAGATTTGTGTCACTTTTCATCATCATAAACTTGCGACTTTGTGGTACAGGAAGAACAATGGAATAAAGACGCAACTCAAAAACATAAATTTGATATTATATTATTTTTAAAATTTATAGTTTCCTGCAGTGCATCAAAAAATATATATTTTCATTTCTCCTTTCTTTGAAGTTAAGACGATATTACAGAAATTTATTTCTCATTATATTAATAATGACCTTTTTAACAATGTTTTAATTTGACTTGTGTCACTGTTGAAAATAATGTCCTTAGTTGATTTTTAATACATTTGGCATATTTTGATTTATGTCACTCTAGCAGAAAATTGACGATTTTGTCTATTTATAGTACGGAAAAAACGACAGAACAGTGACATAACTCAAGAACATATTTTCTATTACATTCATTTTAAAATTTCTCATTTCCTGTAATTCACCAAAAAAATATATTTTCATCTCTTTTGAGTCATGACAATCTTTCAAATAAGTTGATTTCACGCCATATTGATAATGACCTTTTCAACAATGTTTTAATTTAACTCACTGTGGAAAACGATGATTTATTTATAATATAAATGGCATATTTTGATTTATGTCACTGTAGCCGAAAATTGACGATCTTGTATAATTGCCTATCGGAGCATAACTAGATTTATGTTACTCTTTATTACAAAATAGTGACATAACTTAAAAACATGTGTTCTGTTACATTCATTTTAAAATGTCTTGTTTCCTGTAATGCTCCAAAAAATATATTTTTATCTCCGTGTTACAATGATCTTCCAGAAAAGTTTATTTCACATTTTATTTGTAACATTTTCGACAATAATGTCCTAATTTGACTTGTGTCACTTTTGAATATTTTGAATTATGTCACTATAGCATAAAATTGACGATCTCGTCTAATTGTCTATCGGAGCACAATTAGATGTGTCACTCTTCATCGTTAGACTCGCGACTTTGTAGTGCGGGAAAAGCTACATAATAGTGACACAACTTAAAAACAAATTTTCTATTACTTCAATTTTAAAGTTTCTTGTTTTCTGTAAAGCTTTTCATTAAACATTAGTCATCGTGTATTTGATGCTATTAGGAAAAATCCAAAAATGTATTATCATCCTTCTTTTGAGTTATGACGATCTTCCAGAAAAAATTATTTTACACGTTATTAATAAAGACATTTTGAACAATAATGCCCTAATTTGACTTGTGTCACTGTTGAAAATTATGCTTAGTTTATTCCTAATATAACTGGCATATTTTGATTTATATTGCTCTAGCCGTAAATTTGAGATTTTGTTTCATTTTTTATTGGAGCACAACTATATTTGTGCCATTATTCATTATTATAAACTCGAGATTTTCTAGTACAGAAAGAACGACACAACTGCTTTCCAATGGTAATTTTTAGAAATAGTAATATTCTAATAATGACATTTTGAACAATAATGCCCTAATTTGACTTGTGTCACCGTTGAAAATTATGCTTAGTTTATTCTTAATATATGCCATATTTTGATTTATATTGCTCTAGCCGAAAATTTAAGATTTTGTCTCGTTTCTTATCGGAGCAAAACTAGATTTGTGTCATTATTCATTATAATAAACTAGCGACTTTCTAGTACAGAAAGAACGACACAACTGCTTTCCAATGGTAATTTTTGGAAATTCAATAATATGCTCATTTTGCTATACATTTTGAGAATAATCTCGAAAATAGAAATCTTGTTGGGACGATTCTTGTGCACAAATGATATCGCTTATTTACGAGAATACCGACACAACTTTAATTAATTAATTTAACAGGCTGAAACTTAGAAAGTGTCAATGGTAGTAGCGTGGTCAAACCAATGTCACTATAACTACGGAAGTCGTTGTTTTTGTATAAAGAATCTACCGTTTCAATTCTGTTGATTATGATTTTTGAATTGTGCCGGTATTCTCGCAAATCAGCGATATGTAAAATAATAAATATCATTACAGGTGAAATGCCTGCTCAAGCAGCTGCTGTTGGCCGTGCAGCATTTGCACGACAACTGGATCCTGCACAGGGATCTGAAGACGTCGAATTTGCTGTTGTCGCACAAAGGCATTCTCAAAGTGGGCGATTTCGGCTTGGCCAGAGAGTACGGGTCGCCGTTGAAGGCTTACACGTCCATCGTGGTGACGCTGTGGTACAGGGCGCCGGAATTGTTGCTGTGCGCCAAGGAGTACTCGACGCCCATCGATCTGTGGTCCGTCGGTTGCATATTCGCCGAGTTGGTGCTGATGAACGCTCTGTTTCCCGGAAAATCGGAGGTCGATCAGTTGAACAGGATATTCAAAGTAAGAGTTTATTTTTTACCGACTATGTTTATATTTATTTACTTTATCTATTCAATTTCAATGTTCTCAGCAGTTTTAAAATTTCAAATTTTCCTCTTCAATCTAAATTTTATTACTTTTCTTTCAGTTTTGTCCTCATTCTTTTCTTTTCTGTTAATCTTTTATTCTTCATTATCTTCCACAATACCTCCATATATTTCATTTACCTTGTTTTCAACTAACTTTATTTTTTAGACTTTTCCTCTATTTTTGTCTTGTTTTTTAAATTTATTTTTTCCATTTATTTCTCTTTTATTTTGCTTATCTTGCCTTCTGTTTTTACTTTAATTTGTTTTCTACTTTTCATTAATTCAATGTCTCATTTTGATTTCTTTAATTCTTCAATTTTGGGTTATTTTTATTTTGTTTATTAATACCTTTTTCATTTTTTGGATGTTTAATCTGGGTTTTTTCATTAACTTCTTTATCTTCAATTTCTAGTTTTTTCATTATTTTTTTTTCTTATATCTTTATTTCTTTTTCTTGTATGTTTATTTGTTTTTATTCTTTCTTTTTTCGTTATTTATTATCCTAATTTGAATATGCCTTCTTTTCTTTCTATCTTCTTTATTTTTTTATTATCTGTATCATCTCTTTTTTGTCTTTTTTTCAAAATTTATTCATCTCTTCTTTGTCTTCTCTTCTATTTCTATACTTTTTATTCATTTCTATTTTTTTTGTGTGTGTTATCTGTTTTAACTACTAAGGTTATTTCGCCTCGTGTTCTGGTAGGCTTTGTTACTGTTTCCCAGCGCCACTTTTGGAATAGCACTATTAATTAGAATTAATTTTAAATAATTATTAAATAAAAAAATATATTTTTCTCCTTCAAAAATGTCTTCATTTTTATTTTTCATTTCAGACACATCTTTTTGTTTTATTTCTTAATTTTTTTCTATTCGTCTTGTTCTTCCTCTTAGATTCATTTTTTTATAATTGTTATGTTCTTTTTCTAACACCTCCATTACATTATTTATTATAGATCTCTTTCCATTTTTATATTTATAACAATTTGCAATCTTAATAATCCTAAAAATCTTTTCTGGCAAATCTCTTTAAAATTTTTTAAATTACCGTCAGAGATTTTTGTTCGTGGCAATTTCTCTTACTCTATCAATTTTGCCAAAAAGCAAAATGCTATTAAATTTAATTTTGAGTCTAAATGTATCATATTTATATACTTTTTTTATACATTTCAATTTTCTGCCTAGTTATTCTCTTTTCAGGATGTTTTGTATTATTACCGTAGTAAGATCCTCCCAAAAATGAGCATTTATTATAGTGGTTTGTTTTTAATTCTTTGTTTTGTTTGTTTTTTAATTGTTTTTCTTGTTCTTTTTAAAGGACATTTCATTTTCCTGATTCCTTGCAATAGGACATTCTTTTTTGTTTGTTTTTTATTTTTTCATTGCTTTTTTTTTTCATTATTTTTTCTTTATTTTTTTTTATATTTTTATAGAACATTTTATTTTTTTGATACCTTGCTCTAGAAATCATTCTTTTTTTTGTTTGTCTTGTTTTTTATTTGTTTTTCTTGTTCTTTTTATAAGACATTTTATTTTCCTGATTCCTTGCTATAGGACTTATTATTTTTACTTTCCTATCTGTATACAGATATAAGGAAAGTATAGGAATCATGATTTTTTTCGACCTCGAGTTTTCGACGGATTTTTACGTTTTGAGGTCCCCTGAATCCGTTTTGACTATTTTCGCCATGATGTCTGTGTGTGTGTGTGTGTGTGTGTGCGCGCGCGTGTGCGTGCGCTTGCGTGTGTTTGTGTATGTGTGTGTGTATGTGTGTGTGTATGTTTATGTGTATGTGTATGTGTATGTGTGTGTGTGTATATGTGTGTGTCTGTATCCACCATAACTCATGAACCGATACACAGAAAAACACCAAATTTTAAACTTAAGCTTTATTCCAGTGTCCAGTGAACTGATTAGATTTTGGGCAGAGTCGGAACATCTGGGGGGTACTTTATAGGTGGTAATTTTTATATTTTATGGAATATATGTTATTTATATTTGGAGAAGAAAATTCTTCAAATAAAAGTTACTCCTAATATTATTATCTATAATTTTTGTTCTATACAAAATTTTCCTAAAATGGTCCGTATTCGAGAAATTTGACAAAATGTGCAAAATTCTGATTTTTATGAAAATTGTTGAACTAAAAGTTGTTTGCGATATCGATGTCTATAATTTTTGTTTATACCTAATTTTTCTAAAATGGACCGTAATGGAAAAATTGTAGGAAAAGTGCTAAATTAAAATTTTTCAGTATTTTTGTTTTCAATGAATATCTAGAGAAAAATGTTTCGAGTTAGATGTATGTGGAAAATGGATATATTTAGTTTATCTTTTAAACATTTATAGAGGTGCTGCAATAGGTTGTACAAAATAACCGGAAAAAGCCTATAATAACTAGATAGGAAAGTCATGTGTTGGACACATCAGATTTTTTTGTATGTTTCTATTTTTTCATTGCTTTTTTAGTTTTCATTATTTTTTTATAGAACATTTTATTTTTCTGATAACCTGCTATAGGAGTTGTTTTCCTTTTCCGAGTGATTTGCACTGTTCTTGTAGTAAAAATTTAAAAAAGTAGCATTCATTATATTTATAAAGAAACCCTAGTTTTTGTCCTTGTTTTTTTTAAACATGTAAATAAATATTAAATGACCGATATTAACAATTTAAACACTATTTTCAAAAGAATTTACAAATTTTTGTTTCTGTTTATTTTTTTTTTGTCTTGTTTGTTTTTTATTTGTTTTTCTTGTTCTTTTTATAGGATATTTCATTTTCCTGATTCATTGCTATAGTTTTTGTTTTGTTTGTTTTTATGATCTTGTTTATTTTGTCATCGTTTTTTAGTTTTCATTATTTTTACAGGACATTCATTTTCCTGAAACCTTGCTATATGAGTTATTATTTTTTTTGTTTTTATTTTTTTTTATTGTTTTATTATATTTTTATAGAACATTTCATTATCCTGATACCTTGCTATAGAAACTATTCTTTTTTTTTGTTTGTTTTTTATTTTAGATGTTTGTTTTTATTATTTTTTTAATATTTTTATAGGTCATTTCATTTTCCTGATACCTTGCTATATGAGTTATTTTTATTTTCAATGTGTTTGTCATTGTTGCGATAGTAACCTATTTCCAAAGGTATGAACGCTTTCGACCCGATCCTCGTGATAGTTATAATTCCCGAATACGAATAGAAAATTTTTTTATTTCCACCTTTATAGTATATATGCCATTTTGCACAGGATCTTTCTGTATTTTTCAGGACCTCGGCACGCCGAACGAATCGATCTGGACCGGCTTCAACCAGCTGCCGGCCGTCAAAAAAATGAAATTCAACGAATACCCGGTGTCGAACTTGCGCGCAAAATTCGGCAATCTCAGCGAGTGCGGTCTCGGCTTGCTGATCAAATTCCTCACGTACGATCCGAAGAAGAGGGCGACCGCCGAAGAGGCGATGTCGCACGTATACTTCAACGAGCCCCCGTTGCCCATCGATCCCGCCATGTTCCCCACGTGGCCGGCCAAGAGCGAGCTGGGCCATAAAAGAGCGCTGGCTGCCAGCCCGAAGCCGCCGTCCGGTGGCGGGGAATATAAGAAGCTGGGCAAGGATGGGGACGATGACGGGTATGGGTTCAGGCTGGGGATGGGCATGGAGGGACGAAGAGGAGGCGCCGGGTTCAGTTTGAAATTTTGATCGGTCAACGTTTCGTAATATAAATCCCACAGGATTTCAGTATGAGAGCAAGATTCAAAAATACTGGCCCTTATGTATTTAAAAGGAGATAACTTTACTGTAATTATGTCTATTTTTTAATAAAAAGTTTTAATTTTGTTGTTTTGTTTTATTCTTCAGATGGATAAGTAAAAATCGTCTTAAGATATTTCGTTGCTGCTTACAAATAAAATGAGTACTTCAATAGAAAAACCCTCAGTTGGTAATCATTAATCTGAATACAAATAGTACAAGACCAATAAATAATTTGTAATATGAAGTAAAGAAAGTGATGATTTTGTCATGGATCTCATTTTGACAAAATTCATATCCGACGTGGTAAAGAATTATCATGAAACAAACATTAAAAAAAAGCAGCTTATGTAAATTTCGAGGTGATCAATACAGTTCCACCTGGACCGGCCGTAACCAACTATATATTTACTGGGAGCGAAACACCCATTGTAATCATCGACTAATTCAGAAACTACCTTTTTTAAAGTTCTTTAAGAACAAGGACTATTTTTAATTGTCAAGATGTTTGCAAGACAAAACTTGTTGCATCTCCTCCCCTTTTGTTCATCTGTCCAGCATTTGGTCAAAAGAAATATGGTCTGGCCCGGATCTGCCCCCGTTGCAACTAATTCTAATAATATTTCCAAAAGAATCAAATTTATCATAATTATAATACTCCAATAAACATTGGGCCAACAATATAACAAAAAAAACAGTTTTAAGATTTTTTTAATTAGAGCTTTACTTCAAATTGTAAATGTTACAAACTATAATGTAAATAACAAGCTAGAGATTATAATTTATCCTTTATGTCCTAGTTGGATCACATCTATAAACATTGAAATGTCTCAATAAAAAATTATAATTTTTATCAGATCACTCTCCATTAGGTAATTTCATTTTTTCTTTAAGTTTTTCATTCAAATCGTCTTTAATTTTCTCCAAACTCATCAACATCCTTTTGTAGTCTACCTCATCTTTTAATAGTTCTATTTTGAGTTTCCTGAGTTGTTTTTCCTTTTCAATATAATTCTTTTGTAAAGAAATACTGGTATTCTAAAAATAATCAAAATCAATATTATATAGTCTATTATTTTGCTATATAAACTATACCTTATCAGTATCAGACATTATTCAAGACAACAGGATATGTATAGCATTTTTTACAGGTTTTCTACCATATTTACTACATATGTAGGAAAGTCTATTGATACTCCCTTATTATTTGTTTTAGTATTATGATTAATGATTAGGTTGAATCTTCACAATGTAATGGGGCCATTTATACTGGATTATATTTATTAATATTTTGCTTATTAATTGACCACAATTTGAATTTTACACCTGTCAAAAATGCTGTCTGCAGTGTTGCCACACCAATTAATTTTTTCGTAATAGAATTTTGAACCAAAAGGTAATAAAATGGTAATAGAATAATATTTTGAAGTAACATAAATGTACCAGAACTAATATTAAATAAATTTAACAATTAAACTTGTGTATTATAAAATATGTCGGTTTGGTTAATAGAAATAATAAGTTTCGAAAAGTATAATGAAGAAAAACCATGATTGTAAAAATAAACATTTATTTCAAACAAAAATAAGAAAGAAAGTATAATGTAAACACATATGTAAATAAATGTTTAAAATGTCAAATCTTCTGCACATTGTAAATTATCATTATCATCGGCTCAAAATTACAACAGTTATTTTCATTCAATAACTGCTTTTCCACATTTAGACGATTTCTTAATTTGGTTTTAATATTATTTATTTATTAAATGAGAAGATATTACGTGTATAAATAGCTATAGTCGTACTTTAAATATAAAATGAGGGCTTCTACGTTATCTCTAAATAAATCGAGAGAAACAGTCAGTGAGTTCATATACTGGCATTTTAGAGCCCTAAAATATTCTTTTACGTTGACGTATGACATTTCTCTTGAAAGAAATGAATTAGGCATTCCAACGACCTGTCAAACAATAGGTGCCAGTGGGAAATCCTTGTATATTTAAGGGGGGTAGCGACATAGTCTTGCAACTTGGACGCTATTTTTATTTGAAGTAGTACTCGCCAAGCCTGCCAATTTTTGAAGAAATGTATAGATGGGTTTTTTAAATATTATTTTTATTGTGTTTGACATAAAATATTTAAATGTAATCCATTATTCATGATTTTACGTAAAGTAGATAGAATACACCATATGTCGCCACCCTTAGATATACCAAACCTGCCCACTGGTAGGTATGAGGATGAGGTGAGTTCGGATTAGTCAGGTCAGGGGCTGGAACGGGACAGGAACGAAGTGTTTTAAGGTGCTTTTAAATGATGTTTAAGCTTGTTGAACTGTCACTAGTTGGAATAAAAACGGGTAGTTTGGAGTTAAAAGTGTTGAAGGAGCTTGTCAGACGAAACGAACGCAATGGTTGTCATCAATAATTGTCAATTGTCACTTGTCAGAGGATGTTTGTCCACCTAACCTAGAAAATTCTGATTGTCATAATTTTTCTCTAATTTTTAGTTTATTACAATAATTTTAAAACTGGAAATTGTGGAAATGGACGTGAAAGGAGAAATATGTGATCCTCATGAAGAAGGTGTTATTAAAATTGAACCAGTTTCTATTTATGAGCAAAACGAAGATCAAAATGTGATTGGTGATATTTTTAAATCTCAAATAAGTGTCAATGAATTCAAGCCAGAATTAATCAAATATGAAGTGTCTAAACTTGAACAAGGTACGGATTATCAATCGGAAATTGAGCCTGAATGTACAACTGTTAAGGAAGAACTTGATAACATTAGAGAAGTTAAAGCCACAGGTTTCAGGGTTATGAAGGTAGAGATTTTTGAATATGTTCAGTTTAAACAAGAGAGCGAACTTTTGACTTCGCATTGTGATTTGCCGACTTTGAAAACTGAATGTATTGATTATCCAGACTATTTAACAGAATCATGTATTAGCAAACAAACCCAACCGATATTGAAACCTGTCTGTCAAAAAAGTAAGTGTAGGTAAATATTTTAGGCTTCTGGAAGGACACTACTTTAAAAATATACTCTCGGAGGGTCCATATAACATTAGGGATGTATGAATTTTGAAATAATTTTGTAGGACCCTAAAAAGTACTTATTCTATGTAAGGGGATATTCAAGTATTATGTAAGCAGGCTTAAGAGGCAGAAGGGCTCAAGTTTATCTATTTTTACTGACCAAGGGAGGGGGGATATTATATATCTTACGTAAGTTAAAAAAAATTTAAAATAATATTTTTAATTTAAATTAATAATACTGTTTTGACATCAATAAACTAACTGAATAGAATTTAAGCCTGACTTATGAAGATAAGTTACTATTGTTAGCGATGTATGGAGTTTGTGGACAATAAATTGTTCTTAATTTTCAGATTTTATTAAAATACTTTAGAAATTTATTTATTTACAGGCAAGCTCATTTCAATTAGAAAGACATTATACATGTCATACAAACTAGGAACATTTAAAATAACAAAATAGGTTAGTTGAAGTTTAAAAAGGAGAAAACATACAGTAAAACAGCATTAAAGCTCGGTATTGAGTTTTGAATAATGAAAAGGGAATATTGAACAGCCCCATTGTACAAGTTAGCTAATCTAAGCATTCTTGGAATGCAGCTGTTAAAAGCTTTGTTTGATTTGTAAAAAGGTACATGCAATGTTTGGGAGTTTGAACAAGAACATTTATTTTTTCAAGAAGTTCAGGAAAATTACATCTACTATTTATAATAATAAATAGCAAAGTAAGGTCTCTTTGTTTTCACCTAGTTTCCAAGGAGAAGGTTTTCAAAAACTGTTCAATGCAATCATATTCACAATAAACACCCAATTTAAAAACTATATATCTGAGAAAGTTGTGCTGGACACTGTCTATTTTCCTACTATTTGTTATATAGTGTGGAGACCAAACGGAAGAGCAATAGTCAATCAAGGTGGGGTCTGACTAGCAAACAATAAAGAACTTTAATTGCAGTTGTGTCAGTAAAATCATGTGTCAACCTTTTGATAAAACCCAACACATTCATAGATTTGTGGATAGCATCAGATATGTATTGATTAAAGCTTAAAAACACATTATATGGCATTTATTGGCATTCAAGTCCATGCCATTTATAGAACATCATGGGTGTTAAAAATTTGGAAAAAAATTGAGTCTCTTGCAAATAATAAAGCTTTGCTGTTAGAGAAACAATAAATTATATCATTAATAAATAAGTTAAATAGTAAGGGTACTAGATGTGACCCCTGAGGTTATTTGAAACTATATTTAGTGTTTTAAATATTTCTATTTAGATTTGAAACAATTCTAACATCTTATCATTTGAGGGAAAGCTTTAAATGTTCCCAAACACAATAATAATACTTTTCCTACAATTAAATCTCTTTTGAATGAACCCCTAAAAGCAGAGCTTGTGTGGAGCAAAGTTGGTTATTAGTTATTATTATTTTCTATGGCACTAGGATGATTTCCACAGAATTGATGGTACCATTTGAGTTACAGGTGATGAAAACCCAGAAAACCTTACCAACCATCAACAAGATAGCTCACTAGGATTGACATCTGGATGCTGCATCAACTTAGAGCAATATTTAATAATTGACCCTAACGAAAGAATATTTCAGTGTGGAATTTGTGCCAAACAATATAGACATAAGTTGCCCTTACAAAATCATTTAAATGTACATAAAACCACTTTTCAGATTCATAATAATGAAAGTACATTTCAGTGTGACATTTGTTCCAAAGAATTTAGTCACAAATCTAATTTGTATCAACATTTACTAATTCACACTAACAAGAAACCATTCCAGTGTGAAATTTGTTCAAAAGGATTTAATAGAAATTCCAGCTTACAAAGACATTTAATAATTCACAGTAATGAAAAACCATTTAAATGTGACATTTGTTACAAAGAATTTAATCTAAAAACTAACTTAGAGAGACATTTATTAACTCACTCTATTGAAAAACGATTTAAATGTGACTTCTGTTCTAAAGAATTTAATCTAAATTTTAATTTAGAGAAACATTTACTAACTCACTCTAATAAAAAACGCAACTTACAGAATCATTTAATAAATGATACTAATGAAAAGCCATTGACGTAAGACATTGTTTCTAGAGAATTTAATTTGAGATCTAATCTTCAGTAACATTTAACAGTTCAAACTAATGAAAAACCATTTGAGTGTGATATTTGTTCGAAAGAATTTAATGTGGAATCTAACCCAAAGCAGCATTTAATAACTCACACTAATGAACATCCATTTAACTGCAATATTTGTTCTAAATAATTTAATCGAAAGACTAACTTAATGAAGCGTTTAATAATTCACACTAATGAAAAACCATATAAGTTACATTTGTTCCAGACAATTTAAGCGAAAATGTAGCTTATAGCAACATTTACAAATTAACACTAATGAAAAACAATTGTGTAACATTTTTTCCAAAGAATTTAAACATAAACTCAGCTTACTGCAACATTTAATAATTCACTCATATGAAAAGTTATTCAGATGTGTCAATGTTATTAAAGAATTTGATCTGAAAACAGGATTGAGTTTTTAAATACACCTTAAAAGATTCCTTTATTTTAAGCTCCCTTTAATCGCCCTTATAATTTAACATGCCACTATTATTCAAGAATTAATGAATGAAAAATTTATTTACAGATTTATGTACAATACTATTTACATCTACAATACATGTTGATTTGTCCGAAAATCTTCGCCACTGTCCTCCGGCCTAGGCTAGAGAAGTGTGGGCGTCGTCCCGTACCCCAATCACGAATGCAGAAATTTAGATTTTGAGTTTTAAGGTGCCATCTCCTTATTAAAACAAACATTATATGGCATTTTTGATTGTTTTGTATACGTCGATAATTGATCTTAACTCATGAAGATGTGTCTTTTGTTAGTTATGTCTCGTTTCCCTGAAAAAGCGTGAGAAAAAACAGGGTTGTCCTTGTGTTTGTCGGTTGTCCGTATAGTTTATGGCTGGGATGTGCAAATTCGTGAATTACACGGTGTTACCGTCCATCGATTCAGCGAAAAATTTCGCCGTTTCGATTTTCGGTTCACCGTGCAGTCCACCGTCCGACCGGATTTTACGGCTAGTCGGTTTGAATTTGCACATTCAGTTATTTTGTCACAGGGGAAGGTCTGCGTGTTTCCTGTGTTCAGAATTGTCTGTATAATGTCAGTGCCTTGTGGAGACATCCATGCTTCCTGTGAGCACTGTTTCCCGCATTAATACTAAGTATGTCTTCCTTGACATTGGCAGGAAGACTGTTTTTATAGAACCTTTCGGCTATGTGTAATATATATGATTTTATAGTGGGCATGGATGTCTCTCTGTGTATGTCAGTTATCCTGGAATAGCGGAGCCACCCCAGTGTCTGCCTAAGACAACTGTTTTGCACTACTTGTAGTTTATTAAAATGGCTTTCTGTCATCGAACAGAAGGCCTGGCATCCATATGTTAGGATGGGTCTTATGATTTGCCTGTATATTTTAATTTTATTTTCTTTACTGACTCCACTGTTGCGTTTCAGCAGTGGGTATAACGCTCCAATGGCCGCTTTGGCTTTTTTGACTCTGTCTTGTTAATTCCCTATCCAGGTGCACACCAAGATACTTGACTGAGCGTTTGGTTTCTATTTGTTGATCTTTTATTTTTAATTTATTTAGAATTCTATTAGAGTTTCCTCTCCTTTTCTTAGTGAGTATCATGCTCTCCGTTTTAGTAGCGTTCAGTCTCATTTTGTTTGCATCTAGATAGGGAATTAACGTCCTGTTTATATGGATATCAAGCCTTCTGTTCGCAAGTTCTGCTGATTTGTACAAGCAGGTGTCGTCGGCGTACAGTGCCGTCTGTGCACATTATTAGTACCCATTGGCATGTCATGGGTCATAATCGTGTACAGATGCGGCGAAAGTACCGAACCCTGTGGTACCCCCGCTATTGCATTAAATGGTCCTGTTAATGTTTTGTTGATTTTACTGTAAAACGTTCTGTCTTGTAGGTAGGATTGAATCGTTTTTACAATATAAATAGGAAATTCATTTATAAACATTTTGTAGATAAGCCCACAGGTCCAGACGGTATCAAACGCATTTTCCGTATCTAAGGCGACCAGTACTGTTAATTTTGTGTTGTTAAATGCCTCTTTCGCTTGATGAGCTATTCTTATTACTTGTGCAATAGTCCCATGCCCTTCACGGAAACCGTACTGTTCCTGTGGGATTATTTGTTTGTCCTGTTCGATTATGTGTAGTTTGTTTAGTATTATGTTGTCAATTAATTTCGTAAGTGTGTTATTCAAGAAATTCCCCTTTCTTTCGTATGGTAAGGAAGATTCCTTTAAATTGGTGTCGGTTCGAAGCTTAGCTTACTGGAGGGAAGGGGGCGGCATTTAAGATATTTAAATATTACAAACATCCTATTAGTGCAGGGCATAGTGGCACATTCGTTTGCAAAATTGTTTTAATTCGTATTTTTTTTTAAATGTCCAGAAGGCTTTCCTGATTATAAAAGTGTAAGATGACACTCGATATCTGTTGATGTTATTGTTTAAACAACGAAAAATTAATTAAGCCAGAAAAAATGCATTTTTTGCAATGAATTAATTTTTTTTATATTCTTTAGGATATTTCGAATAAAAAAAGTCCTTACGCCCATCATCGTATCTTTAACCCTTTAATTGTTATGAATGTTTTAAAATCCGAAATTGACGAAAATTCTAATTTTCTTGAATTAAATAATATACCTTACAATTTAAAATGCTCTAATTTTAAATTTTTTACCGAATATTCAAACTATAATAAACAAAATAACCTAAATAAATTTTCAAAATTTTGTTTATCTTTTTTTTTACGTTATAACAATATGCTTCCTACGCGCGTGTACTTTTAGAGAGAAGTACTTCTATCTCACTTCCAACTCAATGTATAAGATGGGTAAGAGAAAGCCCGATGACGCGCTAAATCAATTTTTTGCTGTTTTTCAGAGGTAATAAGTTTAAAAAAATTATTATTAACATTTTTCATAACACTTTGTTATATTTGCCGATTAATAGTTTTGTATCATGTGATTTTTTTTACTTTTTTAGATACTTTTGATAACTTTTTTATTTATTAAAGTTAACAGAAACATTTATTTTTAACATTTATTTTTATTCATGAAAAAATTATTGTCAGATACTGCCTGAGAAGTAAAATCTTCTTCAACCTTTTTTTCTTCAATACGATAAAAAGGCCAAATGCACTTGTCGTGATCCGTGAAAAATTTCTACCTGTTACAATGAACATAGTAGGCTTACTGGGGTTATAAAATTTTATGATTTCAAAAATATCCAAGCCTTTCTCCATTTAACAAAAATAAGGAAAATAAATTTTCCATGCACGTCGGATGCTTTGAAATTGCATACTTTACGAGCTTCGTTTCAGACTTATATTTGGAGGAATTCAAATCAATTTCAATATGAACCTTTAGATTTCTCTGGTTTTGGTTATGTTTTCTGTGATAACCAAATAAAGCCACTGTATTTAACAAAACCGCCATTGCCTAAAGACTTAGCAAAACCGTGCAACTGTAAAAAAAATTGTGCAACGAAAGCTTGTTCGTGTCAAAAACTAAACATGACGTGTGTGGCATTATGCGGATGTTTAATTGAATGCTGCCAAAATCAATTTCATGTAAAAACTAGTTAGATGTACAAACTATAATTTAATGTAAAAATTTTCTTAATAAATGAATATTACTATTAAATAATCATAGTGGAAAAGAATTAACAACCATAGAAAAAATTGAATACATATATATTGCGTACTCTGTTTTAAAATAAAAACCAGGTGAGTCAACTATGCTCATCATAACAGGTAGAAATTTCCCTTGAATTACGGCAGGTATGTTTGTTTTCTTTTCTTATTGAAAAAAATTGAGAAACATTTATTTTTTAGACAGCTCTTGGCAATGATTTTTTTTTTGTGGATGGAACATTTCTGTTAACTTCAGACTAGACTAATTTGTCCAAATTGAGCGCTCGACTGTTCTTGACCAAACCAAGACCAAATTGATCGCACTCTTTTTGGTTGGAGCGTGTTTCCTGAACGTGCTCTCGGGCTTTAAAATGGAACACACTCCAGTGTAATTTGTACCTTAGCGTTCGGAAGTAGTGCGGGATTGTTGCCGCGAACGAAGCTAATATGGATTTAGTGTTGCCAACCCTACCGATTTTTCGGTAGATCTACCGATTTTGGAATCATTCTACCGATTTAGGAATTAATCTACCAAATTACAGGACCTCATCTACCAGGATTTCATTTTTTAAAATTAGTTTCTTTTCTTAACAATTCATTAACTGATGCTCAAAAAGGTATGCAACACTTTTAACAGCAATCTCATAAGCGTTCACATAAACACACAATATTTTAACTGCGCTAGGGGAATACCCTTTATGTTACAGTACAGGGAATACCCTATTCATGTGATATAATATAAAAGCATTTTTGCCGAGTTAAGAAAGAAGTTATTCAGTGTGTGTGTTTTGTGATTATGGTTTATATTTTTACTATCAATCTAATGAAAACTAAACGAACAAATTAAATACCAATAGCATAATATTGCTACCTATTAAAAATATATAGGTAGGTAACAGTAATTGTTAGACTTTTCCCGTTGAAAAACAATTACTGTCGTTTATAAACAAAAACAATTTATACAAGGAAGAATAAATTAGATATTAAGAATATATTTAGAATATTGTGTATTTTTTAATGGCTACGTTCAGCAGAAAAAATCTGATCGGAATCTGTTTCAGATCAATTTGCAACAGTTTTAAAGTCTGCTGAACAGTATTTTTTTGCGTTTAGAGCAAGAAACTGTAGTGACATTTATTAAAGTCATGTAACTAACCTCCAAATTTATGATTTTATGTTATTCATTTTATTTGTGGTTCGTGTGTAAATTAAAAAGTAAAATATAAAAGGGCATTGTGTATAATAGCAAAAGCAACTACCTATTGTAAAAAAAGCTTGAGTTACACAATGCAAGGCAATATTTTAATGGTCGCCCTTCACGATATCTTAAATAATATATTATTGTA